TTGTTTCTCAGGAGTTTCAGTTTTACCTGGCATGGTGTATGTAGACGACCCTGCTGTTGTAGTTTCATGGCTGTCGGTTACGTGAATAGAGCTGGTAACGTCAGGAGTTGACGTTTTCGTAGCGTTTGTGATATCTGTTATTCCAGAGTTGCTGTCTGTGGGCGTAACAGATGGTTCAACAGATGTTGTTGTTGCAGCGCTTGGTAACTCCGTAGTACCGGTAATTGTTGTTTCACTCGCTTTCGCAGTTGATCTTGTTTGAGTGACGGTTTCAGAAGTGTCTGTTGCATTTGTTTGTTTCTCAGGAGTTTCAGTTTTACCTGGCGTGGTGTATGTAGACGACCCTGATGTTGTAGTTTCATCGCCGTCGGTTACGTGAATAGAGCTGGTAACGTCAGGAGTGGACGTTTTCGTAGCGTTTGTGATATCTGTTATTTCAGAGTTGCTGTCTGTGGGCGTAACAGATGGTTCAACAGTGGTTGTTGTTGCAGCGCTTGGTAACTCCGTAGTACCGGTAATTGTTGTTTCACTGGATTTCGCAGTTGATCTTGTTTGAGTGACGGTTTCAGAAGTGTCTGTTGCATTTGTTTGTTTCTCAGGAGTTTCAGTTTTACCGGGGGTGGTGTATGTAGACGACCCTGCTGTTGTAGTTTCATCGCCGTCGGTTACGTGAATGGAGCTGGTGACGTCAGGAGTGGACGATTTCGTAGCGTTTGTGATATCTGTTATTCCAGAGTTGCTGTCTGTGGGCGTAACAGATGGTTCAACAGAGGTTGTTGTTGCAGCGCTTGGTAACTCCGTAGTACCGGTAATTGTTGTTTCACTGGCTTTCGCAGTTGATCTTGTTTGAGTGACGGTTTCAGAAGTGTCTGTTGCATTTGTTTGTTTCTCAGGAGTTTCAGTTTTACCGGGGGTGGTGTATGTAGACGACCCTGCTGTTGTAGTTTCATCGCCGTCGGTTACGTGAATAGAGCTGGTAACGTCAGGAGTGGACGTTTTCGTAGCGTTTGTGATATCTGTTATTTCAGAGTTGCTGTCTGTGGGCGTAACAGATGGTTCAACAGTGGTTGTTGTTGCAGCGCTTGGTAACTCCGTTGTACCGGTAATTGTTGTTTCACTGGATTTCGCAGTTGATCTTGTTTGAGTGACGGTTTCAGAAGTGTCTGTTGCATTTGTTTGTTTCTCAGGAGTTTCAGTTTTACCTGGCGTGGTGTATGTAGACGACCCTGATGTTGTAGTTTCATCGCCGTCGGTTACGTGAATAGAGCTGGTAACGTCAGGAGTAGACGTTTTCGTAGCGTTTGTGATATCTGTAATTTCAGAGTTGCTGTCTGTGGGCGTAACAGATGATTCAACAGAGGTTGTTGTTGCAGCGCTTGGTAACTCCGTAGTACCGGTAATTGTTGTTTCACTGGCTTTCGCAGTTGATCTTGTTTGAGTGACGGTTTCAGAAGTGTCTGTTGCATTTGATTGTTTCTCAGGAGTTTCAGTTTTACCTGGCATGGTGTATGTAGACGACCCTGCTGTTGTAGTTTCATGGCTGTCGGTTACGTGAATAGAGCTGGTAACGTCAGGAGTAGACGTTTTCGTAGCGTTTGTGATATCTGTTATTTCAGAGTTGCTGTCTGTGGGCGTAACAGATGGTTCAACAGAGGTTGTTGTTGCAGCGCTTGGTAACTCCGTAGTACCGGTAATTGTTGTTTCACTGGATTTCGCAGTTGATCTTGTTTGAGTGACGGTTTCAGAAATGTCTGTTGCATTTGTTTGTTTCCCAGGAGTTTCAGTTTTAACGGGGGTGGTGTATGTAGACGACCCTGCTGTTGTAGTTTCATCGCCGTCGGTTACGTGAATAGAGCTGGTGACGTCAGGAGTAGACGATTTCGTAGCGTTTGTGATATCTGTTTTTCCAGAGTTGCTGTCTGTGGGCGTAACAGATGGTTCAACAGAGGTTGTTGTTGCAGCGCTTGGTAACTCCGTAGTACCGGTAATTGTTGTTTCACTGGATTTCGCAGTTGATCTTGTTTGAGTGACGGTTTCAGAAATGTCTGTTGCATTTGTTTGTTTCCCAGGAGTTTCAGTTTTAACGGGGGTGGTGTATGTAGACGACCCTGCTGTTGTAGTTTCATCGCCGTCGGTTACGTGAATAGAGCTGGTGACGTCAGGAGTAGACGATTTCGTAGCGTTTGTGATATCTGTTTTTCCAGAGTTGCTGTCTGTGGGCGTAACAGATGGTTCAACAGAGGTTGTTGTTGCAGCGCTTGGTAACTCCGTAGTACCGGTAATTGTTGTTTCACTGGATTTCGCAGTTGATCTTGTTTGAGTGACGGTTTCAGAAGTGTCTGTTGCATTTGTTTGTTTCTCAGGAGTTTCAGTTTTACCGGGGGTGGTGTATGTAGACGACCCTGCTGTTGTAGTTTCATCGCCGTCGGTTACGTGAATAGAGCTGGTAACGTCACGAGTAGAGGTTTTCGTAGCGTTTGTGATATCTTCAGAGTTGCTGTCAGTGGGCGTAACAGATGGTTCAACAGTGGTTGTTGTTGCAGCGCTTGGTAACTCCGTAGTACCGGTAATTGTTGTTTCACGGGATTTCGCAGTTGATCTTGTTTGAGTGACGGTTTCAGAAGTGTCTGTTGCATTTGTTTGTTTCTCAGGAGTTTCAGTTTTACCGGGGGTGGTGTATGTAGACGACCCTGCTGTTGTAGTTTCATCGCGGTCGGTTACGTGAATCGAGCTGGTAACGTCAGGAGTGGACGTTTTCGTAGCGTTTGTGATATCTGTAATTTCAGAGTTGCTGTCTGTGGGCGCAACAGATGGTTCAACAGTGGTTGTTGTTGCAGCGCTTGGTAACTCCGTAGTACCGGTAATTGTTGTTTCACTGGATTTCGCAGTTGATCTTGTTTGAGTGACGGTTTCAGAAGTGTCTGTTGCATTTGTTTGTTTCTCAGGAGTTTCAGTTTTACCGGGGGTGGTGTATGTAGACGACCCTGCTGTTGTGGTTTCATCGCCGTCGGTTACGTGAATAGAGCTGGTAACATCAGGAGTAGACGTTTTCGTAGAGTTTGTGGTATCTGTAATTTCAGAGTTGCTGTCTGTGGGCGTAACAGATGGTTCAACAGTGGTTGTTGTTGCAGCGCTTGGTAACTCCGTAGTACCGGTAATTGTTGTTTCACTGGATTTCGCAGTTGATCTTGTTTGAGTGACGGTTTCAGAAGTGTCTGTTGCATTTGTTTGTTTCTCAGGAGTTTCAGTTTTACCGGGGGTGGTGTATGTAGACGAACCTGCTGTTGTAGTTTCATCGCCGTCGGTTACGTGAATAGAGCTGGTAACGTCAGGAGTAGACGTTTTCGTAGCGTTTGTGATATCTTCAGAGTTGCTGTCAGTGGGCGTAACAGATGGTTCAACAGTGGTTGTTGTTGCAGCGCTTGGTAACTCCGTAGTACCGGTAATTGTTGTTTCACTGGATTTCGCAGTTGATCTTGTTTGAGTGACGGTTTCAGAAATGTCTGTTGCATTTGTTTGTTTCCCAGGAGTTTCAGTTTTAACGGGGGTGGTGTATGTAGACGACCCTGCTGTTGTAGTTTCATCGCCGTCGGTTACGTGAATAGAGCTGGTGACGTCAGGAGTAGACCATTTCGTAGCGTTTGTGATATCTGTTTTTCCAGAGTTGCTGTCTGTGGGCGTAACAGATGGTTCAACAGAGGTTGTTGTTGCAGCGCTTGGTAACTCCGTAGTACCGGTAATTGTTGTTTCACTGGATTTCGCAGTTGATCTTGTTTGAGTGACGGTTTCAGAAGTGTCTGTTGCATTTGTTTGTTTCTCAGGAGTTTCAGTTTTACCGGGGGTGGTGTATGTAGACGACCCTGCTGTTGTAGTTTCATCGCCGTCGGTTACGTGAATAGAGCTGGTAACGTCACGAGTAGAGGTTTTCGTAGCGTTTGTGATATCTTCAGAGTTGCTGTCAGTGGGCGTAACAGATGGTTCAACAGTGGTTGTTGTTGCAGCGCTTGGTAACTCCGTAGTACCGGTAATTGTTGTTTCACGGGATTTCGCAGTTGATCTTGTTTGAGTGACGGTTTCAGAAGTGTCTGTTGCATTTGTTTGTTTCTCAGGAGTTTCAGTTTTACCGGGGGTGGTGTATGTAGACGACCCTGCTGTTGTAGTTTCATCGCGGTCGGTTACGTGAATCGAGCTGGTAACGTCAGGAGTGGACGTTTTCGTAGCGTTTGTGATATCTGTAATTTCAGAGTTGCTGTCTGTGGGCGCAACAGATGGTTCAACAGTGGTTGTTGTTGCAGCGCTTGGTAACTCCGTAGTACCGGTAATTGTTGTTTCACTGGATTTCGCAGTTGATCTTGTTTGAGTGACGGTTTCAGAAGTGTCTGTTGCATTTGTTTGTTTCTCAGGAGTTTCAGTTTTACCGGGGGTGGTGTATGTAGACGACCCTGCTGTTGTGGTTTCATCGCCGTCGGTTACGTGAATAGAGCTGGTAACATCAGGAGTAGACGTTTTCGTAGAGTTTGTGGTATCTGTAATTTCAGAGTTGCTGTCTGTGGGCGTAACAGATGGTTCAACAGTGGTTGTTGTTGCAGCGCTTGGTAACTCCGTAGTACCGGTAATTGTTGTTTCACTGGATTTCGCAGTTGATCTTGTTTGAGTGACGGTTTCAGAAGTGTCTGTTGCATTTGTTTGTTTCTCAGGAGTTTCAGTTTTACCGGGGGTGGTGTATGTAGACGAACCTGCTGTTGTAGTTTCATCGCCGTCGGTTACGTGAATAGAGCTGGTAACGTCAGGAGTAGACGTTTTCGTAGCGTTTGTGATATCTTCAGAGTTGCTGTCAGTGGGCGTAACAGATGGTTCAACAGTGGTTGTTGTTGCAGCGCTTGGTAACTCCGTAGTACCGGTAATTGTTGTTTCACTGGATTTCGCAGTTGATCTTGTTTGAGTGACGGTTTCAGAAGTGTCTGTTGCATTTGTTTGTTTCTCAGGAGTTTCAGTTTTACCGGGGGTGGTGTATGTAGACGACCCTGCTGTTGTAGTTTCATCGCCGTCGGTTACGTGAATAGAGCTGGTAACATCAGGAGTAGACGTTTTCGTAGAGTTTGTGGTATCTGTAATTTCAGAGTTGCTGTCTGTGGGCGTAACAAATGGTTCAACAGTGGTTATTGTTGCAGCGTTTGGTAACTCCGAAGTACCGGTAATTGTTGTTTCACTGGATTTCGCAGTTGATCTTGTTTGAGTGACGGTTTCAGAAGTGTCTGTTGCATTTGTTTGTTTCTCAGGAGTTTCAGTTTTACCGGGGGTGGTGTATGTAGACGACCCTGCTGTTGTAGTTTCATCGCCGTCGGTTACGTGAATAGAGCTGGTAATATCAGTAGTAGACGTTTTCGTAGCGTTTGTGATATCTGTAATTTCAGAGTTGCTGTCTGTGGGCGTAACAGATGGTTCAACAGTGGTTGTTGTTGCAGCGCTTGGTAACCCCGTAGTACCGGTAATTGTTGTTTCACTGGATTTCGCAGTTGATCTTGTTTGAGTGACGGTTTCAGAAGTGTCTGTTGCATTTGTTTGTTTCTCAGGAGTTTCAGTTTTACCGGGGGTGGTGTATGTAGACGACCCTGCTGTTGTAGTTTCATCGCCGTCGGTTACGTGAATAGAGCTGGTAACGTCAGGAGTGGACGTTTTCGTAGCGTTTGTGATATCTGTAATTTCAGAGTTGCTGTCTGTGGGCGTAACAGATGGTTCAACAGTGGTTGTTGTTGCAGCGCTTGGTAACTCCGTAGTACCGGTAATTGTTATTTCACTGGATTTCGCAGTTGATCTTGTTTGAGTGACGGTTTCAGAAGTGTCTGTTGCATTTGTTTGTTCCTCAGGAGTTTCAGTTTTACCTGGCGTGGTGTATGTAGACGACCCTGCTGTTGTAGTTTCATCGCCGTCGGTCACGTGAATAGAGCTGGTAACGTCAGGTGTAGACGTTTTCGTAGCGTTTGTGATATCTGTAATTTCAGAGTTGCTGTCTGTGGGCGTAACAGATGGTTCAACAGTGGTTGTTGTTGCAGCGCTTGGTAACTCCGTAGTACCGGTAATTGTTGTTTCACTGGATTTCGAAGTTGATTTTGTTTGAGTGACGGTTTCAGAAGTGTCTGTTGCATTTGTTTGTTTCTCAGGAGTTTCAGTTTTACCTGGCGTGGTGTATGTAGACGACCCTGCTGTTGTAGTTTCATCGCCGTCGGTCACGTGAATAGAGCTGGTAACGTCAGGTGTAGACGTTTTCGTAGCGTTTGTGATATCTGTTATTTCAGAGTTGCTGTCTGTGGGCGTAACAGATGGTTCAACAGTGGTTGTTGTTGCAGCGCTTGGTAACTCCGTAGTACCGGTAATTGTGGTTTCACTGGATTTCGAAGTTGATTTTGTTTGAGTGACGGTTTCAGAAGTGTCTGTTGCATTTGTTTGTTTCTCAGGAGTTTCAGTTTTACCGGGGGTGGTGTATGTAGACGACCCTGCTGTTGTAGTTTCATCGCCGTCGGTTATAGAGCTGGTAACGTCAGGAGTAGACGTTTTCGTAGCGTTTGTGATATCTGTTATTTCAGAGTTGCTGTCTGTGGGAGTAACAGATGGTTCAACACTGGTTGTTGTTGGAGCGCTTGGTAACTCCGTAGTACCGGTAATTGTTGTTTCATTGGATTTCGCAGTTGATCTTGTTTGAGTGAAGGTTTCAGAAGTGTCTGTTGCATTTGTTTGTTTCTCAGGAGTTTCAGTTTTACGGGGGGTGGTGTATGTAGACGACCCTGCTGTTGTAGTTTCATCGCCGTCGGTCACGTGAATAGAGCTGGTAACGTCAGGTGTAGACGTTTTCGTAGCGTTTGTGATATCTGTATTTTCAGAGTTGCTGTCTGTGAGCGTAACAGATGGTTCAACAGTGGTTGTTGTTGCAGCGCTTGGTAACTCCGTAGTACCGGTAATTGTTGTTTCACTGGATTTCGAAGTTGATTTTGTTTGAGTGACGGTTTCAGAAGTGTCTGTTGCATTTGTTTGTTTCTCAGGAGTTTCAGTTTTACCTGGCGTGGTGTATGTAGACGACCCTGCTGTTGTAGTTTCATCGCCGTCGGTCACGTGAATAGAGCTGGTAACGTCAGGTGTAGACGTTTTCGTAGCGTTTGTGATATCTGTAATTTCAGAGTTGCTGTCTGTGGGCGTAACAGATGGTTCAACAGTGGTTGTTGTTGCAGCGCTTGGTAACTCCGTAGTACCGGTAATTGTTGTTTCACTGGATTTCGCAGTTGAACTTGTTTGAGTGACGGTTTCAGAAGTGTCTGTTGCATTTGTTTGTTTCTCAGGAGTTTCAGTTTTACCTGGCGTGGTGTATGTAGACGACCCTGCTGTTGTAGTTTCATCGCCGTCGGTCACGTGAATAGAGCTGGTAACGTCAGGTGTAGACGTTTTCGTAGCGTTTGTGATATCTGTTATTTCAGAGTTGCTGTCTGTGGGCGTAACAGATGGTTCAACAGTGGTTGTTGTTGCAGCGCTTGGTAACTCCGTAGTACCGGTAATTGTGGTTTCACTGGATTTCGAAGTTGATTTTGTTTGAGTGACGGTTTCAGAAGTGTCTGTTGCATTTGTTTGTTTCTCAGGAGTTTCAGTTTTACCGGGGGTGGTGTATGTAGACGACCCTGCTGTTGTAGTTTCATCGCCGTCGGTTATAGAGCTGGTAACGTCAGGAGTAGACGTTTTCGTAGCGTTTGTGATATCTGTTATTTCAGAGTTGCTGTCTGTGGGAGTAACAGATGGTTCAACACTGGTTGTTGTTGGAGCGCTTGGTAACTCCGTAGTACCGGTAATTGTTGTTTCATTGGATTTCGCAGTTGATCTTGTTTGAGTGAAGGTTTCAGAAGTGTCTGTTGCATTTGTTTGTTTCTCAGGAGTTTCAGTTTTACGGGGGGTGGTGTATGTAGACGACCCTGCTGTTGTAGTTTCATCGCCGTCGGTCACGTGAATAGAGCTGGTAACGTCAGGTGTAGACGTTTTCGTAGCGTTTGTGATATCTGTATTTTCAGAGTTGCTGTCTGTGAGCGTAACAGATGGTTCAACAGTGGTTGTTGTTGCAGCGCTTGGTAACTCCGTAGTACCGGTAATTGTTGTTTCACTGGATTTCGAAGTTGATTTTGTTTGAGTGACGGTTTCAGAAGTGTCTGTTGCATTTGTTTGTTTCTCAGGAGTTTCAGTTTTACCTGGCGTGGTGTATGTAGACGACCCTGCTGTTGTAGTTTCATCGCCGTCGGTCACGTGAATAGAGCTGGTAACGTCAGGTGTAGACGTTTTCGTAGCGTTTGTGATATCTGTAATTTCAGAGTTGCTGTCTGTGGGCGTAACAGATGGTTCAACAGTGGTTGTTGTTGCAGCGCTTGGTAACTCCGTAGTACCGGTAATTGTTGTTTCACTGGATTTCGCAGTTGAACTTGTTTGAGTGACGGTTTCAGAAGTGTCTGTTGCATTTGTTTGTTTCTCAGGAGTTTCAGTTTTACCTGGCGTGGTGTATGTAGACGACCCTGCTGTTGTAATTTCATCGCCGTCGGTCACGTGAATAGAGCTGGTAACGTCAGGTGTAGACGTTTTCGTAGCGTTTGTGATATCTGTTATTTCAGAGTTGCTGTCTGTGGGCGTAACAGATGGTTCAACAGTGGTTGTTGTTGCAGCGCTTGGTAACTCCGTAGTACCGGTAATTGTGGTTTCACTGGATTTCGAAGTTGATTTTGTTTGAGTGACGGTTTCAGAAGTGTCTGTTGCATTTGTTTGTTTCTCAGGAGTTTCAGTTTTACCGGGGGTGGTGTATGTAGACGACCCTGCTGTTGTAGTTTCATCGCCGTCGGTTATAGAGCTGGTAACGTCAGGAGTAGACGTTTTCGTAGCGTTTGTGATATCTGTCATTTCAGAGTTGCTGTCTGTGGGAGTAACAGATGGTTCAACACTGGTTGTTGTTGCAGCGCTTGGTAACTCCGTAGTACCGGTAATTGTTGTTTCATTGGATTTCGCAGTTGATCTTGTTTGAGTGAAGGTTTCAGAAGTGTCTGTTGCATTTGTTTGTTTCTCAGGAGTTTCAGTTTTACGGGGGGTGGTGTATGTAGACGACCCTGCTGTTGTAGTTTCATCGCCGTCGGTCACGTGAATAGAGCTGGTAACGTCAGGTGTAGACGTTTTCGTAGCGTTTGTGATATCTGTATTTTCAGAGTTGCTGTCTGTGGGCGTAACGGATGATTCAACAGTGGTTGTTGTTGCAGCGCTTGGTAACTCCGTAGTACCGGTAATTGTTGTTTCACTGGATTTCGCAGTTGATCTTGTTTGAGTGACGGTTTCAGAAGTGTCTGTTGCATTTGTTTGTTTCTCAGGAGTTTCAGTTTTACCTGGCGTGGTGTATGTAGACGACCCTGCTGTTGTAGTTTCATCGCCGTCGGTTATAGAGCTGGTAACGTCAGGAGTAGACGTTTTCGTAGCGTTTGTGATATCTGTTATTTCAAAGTTGCTGTCTGTGGGCGTAACAGATGGTTCAACAGTGGTTGTTGTTGCAGCGCTTGGTAACTCCGTAGTACCGGTTATTGTTGTTTCACTGGACTTCGCAGTTGATCTTGTTTGAGTGACGGTTTCAGAAGTGTCTGTTGCATTTGTTTGTTTCTCAGGAGTTTCAGTTTTACCGGGGGTTTTGTATGTAGACGACCCTGCTGTTGTAGTTTCATCGCCGTCGGTCACGTGAATAGAGCTGGTAACGTCAGGAGTAGACGTTTTCGTAGCGTTTGTGATATCTGTTATTTCAGAGTTGCTGTCTGTGGGCGTAACAGATGGTTCAACAGTGGTTGTTGTTGCAGCGCTTGGTAGCTCCGTAGTACCGGTAATTGTTGTTTCACTGGATTTCGCAGTTGATCTTGTTTGAGTGACGGTTTCAGAAGTGTCTGTTGCATTTGTTTGTTTCTCAGGAGTTTCAGTTTTACCGGGGGTGGTGTATGTAGACGACCCTGCTGTTGTAGTTTCATCGCCGTCGGTTACGTGAATAGAACTGGTAACGTCAGGAGTAGACGTTTTCGTAGCGTTTGTGATATCTGTTATTTCAGAGTTGCTGTCAGTGGGCGTAACAGATGATTCAACAGTGGTTGTTGTTGCAGCGCTTGGTAACTCCGTAGTACCGGTAATTGTTGTTTCACTGGATTTCGAAGTTGATTTTGTTTGAGTGACGGTTTCAGAAGTGTCTGTTGCATTTGTTTGTTTCTCAGGAGTTTCAGTTTTACCTGGCGTGGTGTATGTAGACGACCCTGCTGTTGTAGTTTCATCGCCGTCGGTCACGTGAATAGAGCTGGTAACGTCAGGTGTAGACGTTTTCGTAGCGTTTGTGATATCTGTAATTTCAGAGTTGCTGTCTGTGAGCGTAACAGATGGTTCAACAGTGGTTGTTGTTGCAGCGCTTGGTAACTCCGTAGTACCGGTAATTGTTGTTTCACTGGATTTCGAAGTTGATTTTGTTTGAGTGACGGTTTCAGAAGTGTCTGTTGCATTTGTTTGTTTCTCAGGAGTTTCAGTTTTACCGGGGGTGGTGTATGTAGATGACCCTGCTGTTGTAGTTTCATCGCCCTCGGTTATAGAGCTGGTAACGTCAGGAGTAGACGTTTTCGTAGCGTTTGTGATATCTGTTATTTCAGAGTTGCTGTCTGTGGGCGTAATAGAAAATTCAACAGTGGTTGTTGTTGCAGCGCTTGGTAACTCCGTAGTACCGGTAATTGTTGTTTCACTGGATTTCGCAGTTGATCTTGTTTGAGTCACGGTTTCAGAAGTATCTGTTGCATTTGTTTCTTTCTGAGGTGTTTCAGTTTTACCTGGCGTGGTATATGTGGACCACTCTGCTGTTGTAGTTTCATCGCTGTCGGTTACGTGAATAGAACTCGTAACGTCAGGTGTAGACGTTTTCGTAGCGTTTGTGATATCTGTTATTTCAGAGTTGCTGTCTGTGGGCGTGACAGATGATTCAACAGTGGTAGTTGTTGCAGCGCTTGGTAACTCCGTAGTACCGGTAATTATCGTTTCACTGGATTTCGCAGTTGATCTTGTTTGAGTCACGGTTTCAGAAGTATCTGTTGCATTTGTTTCTTTCTCAGGTGTTTCAGTTTTACCTGGCGTGGTATATGTGGACCACTCTGCTGTTGTAGTTTCATCGCTGTCGGTTACGTGAATAGAACTCGTAACGTCAAGTGTAGACGTTTTCGTAGCGTTTGTGATATTTGTTATTTCAGAGTTGCTGTCTGTGGGCGTGACAGATGATTCAATAGCAGTAGTTGTTGCAGCGCTTGGTAACTCCGTAGTACCGGTAATTATCGTTTCACTGGATTTCGCAGTTGATCTTGTTTGAGTCACGGTTTCAGAAGTATCTGTTGCATTTGTTTCTTTCTCAGGTGTTTCAGTTTTACCTGGCGTGGTATATGTGGACCACTCTGCTGTTGTAGTTTCATCGCTGTCGGTTACGTGAATAGAACTCGTAACGTCAGGTGTAGACGTTTTCGTAGCGTTTGTGATATCTGTTATTTCAGAGTTGCTGTCTGTGGGCGTGACAGATGATTCAATAGCAGTAGTTGTTGCAGCGCTTGGTAACTCCGTAGTACCGGTAATTATCGTTTCACTGGATTTCGCAGTTGATCTTGTTTGAGTCACGGTTTCAGAAGTATCTGTTGCATTTGTTTCTTTCTCAGGTGTTTCAGTTTTACCTGGCGTGGTATATGTGGACCACTCTGCTGTTGTAGTTTCATCGCTGTCGGTTACGTGAATAGAACTCGTAACGTCAGGTGTAGACGTTTTCGTAGCGTTTGTGATATTTGTTATTTCAGAGTTGCTGTCTGTGGGCGTGACAGATGATTCAATAGCAGTAGTTGTTGCAGCGCTTGGTAACTCCGTAGTACCGGTAATTATCGTTTCACTGGATTTCGCAGTTGATCTTGTTTGAGTCACGGTTTCAGAAGTATCTGTTGCATTTGTTTCTTTCTCAGGTGTTTCAGTTTTACCTGGCGTGGTATATGTGGACCACTCTGCTGTTGTAGTTTCATCGCTGTCGGTTACGTGAATAGAACTCGTAACGTCAAGTGTAGACGTTTTCGTAGCGTTTGTGATATTTGTTATTTCAGAGTTGCTGTCTGTGGGCGTGACAGATGATTCAATAGCAGTAGTTGTTGCAGCGCTTGGTAACTCCGTAGTACCGGTAATTATCGTTTCACTGGATTTCGCAGTTGATCTTGTTTGAGTCACGGTTTCAGAAGTATCTGTTGCATTTGTTTCTTTCTCAGGTGTTTCAGTTTTACCTGGCGTGGTATATGTGGACCACTCTGCTGTTGTAGTTTCATCGCTGTCGGTTACGTGAATAGAACTCGTAACGTCAGGTGTAGACGTTTTCGTAGCGTTTGTGATATTTGTTATTTCAGAGTTGCTGTCTGTGGGCGTAACAGATGGTTCAACAGTGGTTGTTGTTGCAGCGCTTGGTAACTCCGTAGTACCGGTTATTGTTGTTTCACTGGACTTCGCAGTTGATCTTGTTTGAGTGACGGTTTCAGAAGTGTCTGTTGCATTTGTTTGTTTCTCAGGAGTTTCAGTTTTACCGGGGGTTTTGTATGTAGACGACCCTGCTGTTGTAGTTTCATCGCCGTCGGTCACGTGAATAGAGCTGGTAACGTCAGGAGTAGACGTTTTCGTAGCGTTTGTGATATCTGTTATTTCAGAGTTGCTGTCTGTGGGCGTAACAGATGGTTCAACAGTGGTTGTTGTTGCAGCGCTTGGTAGCTCCGTAGTACCGGTAATTGTTGTTTCACTGGATTTCGCAGTTGATCTTGTTTGAGTGACGGTTTCAGAAGTGTCTGTTGCATTTGTTTGTTTCTCAGGAGTTTCAGTTTTACCGGGGGTGGTGTATGTAGACGACCCTGCTGTTGTAGTTTCATCGCCGTCGGTTACGTGAATAGAACTGGTAACGTCAGGAGTAGACGTTTTCGTAGCGTTTGTGATATCTGTTATTTCAGAGTTGCTGTCAGTGGGCGTAACAGATGATTCAACAGTGGTTGTTGTTGCAGCGCTTGGTAACTCCGTAGTACCGGTAATTGTTGTTTCACTGGATTTCGAAGTTGATTTTGTTTGAGTGACGGTTTCAGAAGTGTCTGTTGCATTTGTTTGTTTCTCAGGAGTTTCAGTTTTACCTGGCGTGGTGTATGTAGACGACCCTGCTGTTGTAGTTTCATCGCCGTCGGTCACGTGAATAGAGCTGGTAACGTCAGGTGTAGACGTTTTCGTAGCGTTTGTGATATCTGTAATTTCAGAGTTGCTGTCTGTGAGCGTAACAGATGGTTCAACAGTGGTTGTTGTTGCAGCGCTTGGTAACTCCGTAGTACCGGTAATTGTTGTTTCACTGGATTTCGAAGTTGATTTTGTTTGAGTGACGGTTTCAGAAGTGTCTGTTGCATTTGTTTGTTTCTCAGGAGTTTCAGTTTTACCGGGGGTGGTGTATGTAGATGACCCTGCTGTTGTAGTTTCATCGCCCTCGGTTATAGAGCTGGTAACGTCAGGAGTAGACGTTTTCGTAGCGTTTGTGATATCTGTTATTTCAGAGTTGCTGTCTGTGGGCGTAATAGAAAATTCAACAGTGGTTGTTGTTGCAGCGCTTGGTAACTCCGTAGTACCGGTAATTGTTGTTTCACTGGATTTCGCAGTTGATCTTGTTTGAGTCACGGTTTCAGAAGTATCTGTTGCATTTGTTTCTTTCTGAGGTGTTTCAGTTTTACCTGGCGTGGTATATGTGGACCACTCTGCTGTTGTAGTTTCATCGCTGTCGGTTACGTGAATAGAACTCGTAACGTCAGGTGTAGACGTTTTCGTAGCGTTTGTGATATCTGTTATTTCAGAGTTGCTGTCTGTGGGCGTGACAGATGATTCAACAGTGGTAGTTGTTGCAGCGCTTGGTAACTCCGTAGTACCGGTAATTATCGTTTCACTGGATTTCGCAGTTGATCTTGTTTGAGTCACGGTTTCAGAAGTATCTGTTGCATTTGTTTCTTTCTCAGGTGTTTCAGTTTTACCTGGCGTGGTATATGTGGACCACTCTGCTGTTGTAGTTTCATCGCTGTCGGTTACGTGAATAGAACTCGTAACGTCAAGTGTAGACGTTTTCGTAGCGTTTGTGATATTTGTTATTTCAGAGTTGCTGTCTGTGGGCGTGACAGATGATTCAATAGCAGTAGTTGTTGCAGCGCTTGGTAACTCCGTAGTACCGGTAATTATCGTTTCACTGGATTTCGCAGTTGATCTTGTTTGAGTCACGGTTTCAGAAGTATCTGTTGCATTTGTTTCTTTCTCAGGTGTTTCAGTTTTACCTGGCGTGGTATATGTGGACCACTCTGCTGTTGTAGTTTCATCGCTGTCGGTTACGTGAATAGAACTCGTAACGTCAGGTGTAGACGTTTTCGTAGCGTTTGTGATATCTGTTATTTCAGAGTTGCTGTCTGTGGGCGTGACAGATGATTCAATAGCAGTAGTTGTTGCAGCGCTTGGTAACTCCGTAGTACCGGTAATTATCGTTTCACTGGATTTCGCAGTTGATCTTGTTTGAGTCACGGTTTCAGAAGTATCTGTTGCATTTGTTTCTTTCTCAGGTGTTTCAGTTTTACCTGGCGTGGTATATGTGGACCACTCTGCTGTTGTAGTTTCATCGCTGTCGGTTACGTGAATAGAACTCGTAACGTCAGGTGTAGACGTTTTCGTAGCGTTTGTGATATTTGTTATTTCAGAGTTGCTGTCTGTGGGCGTGACAGATGATTCAATAGCAGTAGTTGTTGCAGCGCTTGGTAACTCCGTAGTACCGGTAATTATCGTTTCACTGGATTTCGCAGTTGATCTTGTTTGAGTCACGGTTTCAGAAGTATCTGTTGCATTTGTTTCTTTCTCAGGTGTTTCAGTTTTACCTGGCGTGGTATATGTGGACCACTCTGCTGTTGTAGTTTCATCGCTGTCGGTTACGTGAATAGAACTCGTAACGTCAAGTGTAGACGTTTTCGTAGCGTTTGTGATATTTGTTATTTCAGAGTTGCTGTCTGTGGGCGTGACAGATGATTCAATAGCAGTAGTTGTTGCAGCGCTTGGTAACTCCGTAGTACCGGTAATTATCGTTTCACTGGATTTCGCAGTTGATCTTGTTTGAGTCACGGTTTCAGAAGTATCTGTTGCATTTGTTTCTTTCTCAGGTGTTTCAGTTTTACCTGGCGTGGTATATGTGGACCACTCTGCTGTTGTAGTTTCATCGCTGTCGGTTACGTGAATAGAACTCGTAACGTCAGGTGTAGACGTTTTCGTAGCGTTTGTGATATTTGTTATTTCAGAGTTGCTGTCTGTGGGCGTGACAGATGATTCAATAGCAGTAGTTGTTGCAGCGCTTGGTAACTCCGTAGTACCGGTAATTATCGTTTCACTGGATTTCGCAGTTGATCTTGTTTGAGTCACGGTTTCAGAAGTATCTGTTGCATTTGTTTCTTTCTCAGGTGTTTCAGTTTTACCTGGCGTGGTATATGTGGACCACTCTGCTGTTGTAGTTTCATCGCTGTCGGTTACGTGAATAGAACTCGTAACGTCAGGTGTAGACGTTTTCGTAGCGTTTGTGATATCTGTTATTTCAGAGTTGCTGTCTGTGGGCGTGACAGATGATTCAATAGCAGTAGTTGTTGCAGCGCTTGGTAACTCCGTAGTACCGGTAATTATCGTTTCACTGGATTTCGCAGTTGATCTTGTTTGAGTCACGGTTTCAGAAGTATCTGTTGCATTTGTTTCTTTCTCAGGTGTTTCAGTTTTACCTGGCGTGGTATATGTGGACCACTCTGCTGTTGTAGTTTCATCGCTGTCGGTTACGTGAATAGAACTCGTAACGTCAGGTGTAGACGTTTTCGTAGCGTTTGTGATATTTGTTATTTCAGAGTTGCTGTCTGTGGGCGTGACAGATGATTCAATAGCAGTAGTTGTTGCAGCGCTTGGTAACTCCGTAGTACCGGTAATTATCGTTTCACTGGATTTCGCAGTTGATCTTGTTTGAGTCACGGTTTCAGAAGTATCTGTTGCATTTGTTTCTTTCTCAGGTGTTTCAGTTTTACCTGGCGTGGTATATGTGGACCACTCTGCTGTTGTAGTTTCATCGCTGTCGGTTACGTGAATAGAACTCGTAACGTCAAGTGTAGACGTTTTCGTAGCGTTTGTGATATTTGTTATTTCAGAGTTGCTGTCTGTGGGCGTGACAGATGATTCAATAGCAGTAGTTGTTGCAGCGCTTGGTAACTCCGTAGTACCGGTAATTATCGTTTCACTGGATTTCGCAGTTGATCTTGTTTGAGTCACGGTTTCAGAAGTATCTGTTGCATTTGTTTCTTTCTCAGGTGTTTCAGTTTTACCTGGCGTGGTATATGTGGACCACTCTGCTGTTGTAGTTTCATCGCTGTCGGTTACGTGAATAGAACTCGTAACGTCAGGTGTAGACGTTTTCGTAGCGTTTGTGATATCTGTTATTTCAGAGTTGCTGTCTGTGGGCGTGACAGATGATTCAATAGCAGTAGTTGTTGCAGCGCTTGGTAACTCCGTAGTACCGGTAATTATCGTTTCACTGGATTTCGCAGTTGATCTTGTTTGAGTCACGGTTTCAGAAGTATCTGTTGCATTTGTTTCTTTCTCAGGTGTTTCAGTTTTACCTGGCGTGGTATATGTGGACCACTCTGCTGTTGTAGTTTCATCGCTGTCGGTTACGTGAATAGAACTCGTAACGTCAGGTGTAGACGTTTTCGTAGCGTTTGTGATATTTGTTATTTCAGAGTTGCTGTCTGTGGGCGTGACAGATGATTCAATAGCAGTAGTTGTTGCAGCGCTTGGTAACTCCGTAGTACCGGTAATTATCGTTTCACTGGATTTCGCAGTTGATCTTGTTTGAGTCACGGTTTCAGAAGTATCTGTTGCATTTGTTTCTTTCTCAGGTGTTTCAGTTTTACCTGGCGTGGTATATGTGGACCACTCTGCTGTTGTAGTTTCATCGCTGTCGGTTACGTGAATAGAACTCGTAACGTCAGGTGTAGACGTTTTCGTAGTGTTTGTGATATCTGTTATTTCAGAGTTGCTGTCTGTGGGCGTGACAGATGATTCAACAGTGGTAGTTGTTGCAGCGCTTGGTAACTCCGTAGTACCGGTAATTATCGTTTCACTGGATTTCCCAGTTGATCTTGTTTGAGTCACGGTTTCAGAAGTATCTGTTGCATTTGTTTCTTTCTCAGGTGTTTCAGTTTTACCTGGCGTGGTATATGTGGACCACTCTGCTGTTGTAGTTTCATCGTTGTCGGTTACGTGAATAGAACTCGTAACGTCAGGTGTAGACGTTTTCGTAGCGTTTGTGATATCTGTTATTTCAGAGTTGCTGTCTGTGGGCGTGACAGATGATTCAATAGCAGTAGTTGTTGCAGCGCTTGGTAACTCCGTAGTACCGGTAATTGTTGTTTCACTGGATTTCGCAGTTGATCTTGTTTGAGTCACGGTTTCAGAAGTATCTGTTGCATTTGTTTCTTTCTCAGGAGTTTCAGGTTTACCTGGCGTGGTGTATGTAGACGACCCTGCTGTTGTAGTTCGATCGCTGTTGGTTACGTGAATAGAGCTCGTAACGTCAGGTGTAGACATATTCGTAGCGTTTGTGGTATCTGATATTTCATCGGTTTTGGTAACGACAGGTGATTTAGTTGTTGTTTCATTTCTGACAATTGTTGTGTTAAGGTTTGTTACTTCTGTCGTTCCTTCTGTGTTGTCAAAAATTACTGATGTCGTATCTTGTGGTTCCACACTTTCAGTTGTGCTGAGCACTGTTGTTGTATTATTTTGTTCTTTTGAAGTGGTAAATAACCACGGTTCGTCGCATTCTAAATCTGACAAATCGTTACATACTAGTCCAGGTGGACATTGTTGTGGAAATCCTATTGTCATAGTCGTATCTCCCACTTCCACACATTGATAGAATTGCGTTTCGTCGTAACAGACAAAGCCTTTGTTTTGACAATCTATTATTTCTTTAGAATACACGCTGTAAACCTAAAAATAATTGTTGTTAATTTTTTAGTAATGTAGCTTTTTCTTTATGGGCAAATGTTTAATATTAATGTAGCAAATTTTATGGTAAATGTTTCTTTCAAATCAACGACATTTTCCAAGGAAAATTTACTAATGTTACACGAGTCGCTTGTGGTGTTTTATGCCAAACAAAAATATGTTTTTTTATAATCCAGACGTTTTCTGCGATTGATTGATCTGAACTGAATTACCATGCTCTCTGTCATTAAATTATTGCTATAGATGGGGAAGTCCGAATTGCGCACATGACCTGAAAAAGATAGGAGTTGCCCCCTTTTACCGCTCGGAAAGTGTCCGAGTTGCGCCCACTACCTGAATGCTCCCTTACCACATTATATTGTGACCTCGGTATTGGATATTTCAATTATGTAAATATAAATGAACACAGAAGTAAACTCTAAAAATAAATTGACGAATGTATAGTTTTACTGAGGTTCCATTCTTACAGCAATGTTACTCTATAGTTACCTACCTAAAATGCAGTGGCGGCTCCTCGGGGTGGGCAGGGTGGGCAATGCCCACCCTATTTGATTGTTTACGATACGAAGTAAAATATTGATTTTTTTTTCTTTTTTAAATTATTTTATATGTGTACACAACTAATTATCGTCATAAACATCATTTAAGCCAACGGATTTTCTTCATTACATCCCGCAGTTTCCGCAACTGAGAAATTGCAGTTATAAAAAAGTGCGTCAGATCTCGGCGTTATACGGTTCATGTACGGATGGGCTAGTCCACCCTGGTCCACCCTCTTGATTGTAAGCAACGACATACATTCGGTTTTCTATGTACGTGATTGAGAGTAAAGAATTCGAAACACACGTCTTTGCTTCAAGCGGGGCAGGACGCCCTGGCGTCAACGTATATCTCAAACGCTGCAGAATCGGATCTCTCGATATTCGATTCAAGGATTCAATAAATTAATTTCGATTTTTTTACTTCTTCTGTATTGTAAAAGTATAGAAGTATTTATTTTTATTACTCTATTGAAATATGGGTAAGGTAGTAAGGAAAATAATGTTATGCGAAAATTCTTGAATACTATTGTTATAGAAAAGAGCAACACCATAATAATTAATAAATACTTTTATTCAATTTTGACATGTAAACAAACGTTTATTTTGCCGTCAGTAGGCCACTAAAGCTTTGGTTTATCCGGTAGCACCATAAAATTTTTAAACCGCTAGCGAAATAAAATTTTTATTTTGCTGTTTTAAAACCATGGTTACCATTTCTGTAATTTCTCCAGTGTCTTGCTGCTCTTTCCATCTAAGGAACTTTTGATACACTTTCTGATCTGGTCTTTTCTGGGAGCAAGTTTTGTCGTTAGAATCTTGCATGATTTTGCAATTTTTCGATAATTTTAATTTGTTTAAAATAAACAAACACCGTCGCCAGAGTCACATACTACACACACACACCTGATATTGTACACTAAATTCTACGCATATAAAACTTTTATTTGGTCGCTGTCACGGCCATATATAACAGGTCTGCGAACTCCGAGTTTAAAATGGTCTTTTTTCGAAGAGATCCCAGAAGGCCACGGGAGCTTAAAGTTCCTAGCGCCGTCTACTGGATACTATGATGAAACTGCCCACAATAATGAATGAAATTTGCGTAAAAATGTCCTTGAATGCAAGTTGTCATAAATGTCAGCTTTATAGGTTAGGTTTTGTGACATCTTTTTGAAAGATGAGGGGAAATATACGTTAAATGTCATGTCAAACGTCAGTCGATAGCGCAAATAGTACAAGTAACTACCACATGGTGGCGGTCATCTTAAGCTCCCACAACCTACTACGATACCAGTTTTTAAGCGCCCGTTTTATGAAAATTTATGAATGGAGTTGAAACACCTTACTTATACCACCGTGGTCGCTGTCAATTCTGACGTTTCTCGAGTCTGAACTTTGAATCACCAATTTTTTCACAATTTGGGACTTGGGGTTGTCAAAATTGAATAAAATTTTGTATTACACTCGCGGTTAAAATGAATGTGTAACTCGCGGTCTTAAGGCGCTCGCGGCATACGCTCATTAAACATTCACTTTAACCGCTTGTATAATAAATAACTATTTCATATCAAATGAAAATTTGTAATAACCATATTCTTGTATTATGACACCGTGTAAACTTTATAATGAATTATAAATTTAAAAATCCAAATAACCAATGATGAGAATAATACATATATATGTATTATTCTCATCATTGGTTATATTATATATTATTGCAGTACGTATCTGACATGTGTATTGTTTTATTATTACATAATTCGTCGTTGATTCTGCAATACCTGCTATGTGCACTTTTTGTCCATTTTCAGGTTTGCTCATGATTTGATTGTAAGAAATATAGCGCGTCGAATGGTAATAACTGCTATGTGTTAAAAATTCGCGGTAATTTTTAAATTAAAAAAGAAAAAACCTGTCATGTGTTGGTAGTCAAACAACCGCTCGAAATATCTGCTATGTGCATATAATACACACAGCATTTGCTAGTATTTGCTAAGAAAAAACTGATTTTAGCAAATAACATACCCCCTAAGAAAATAGAGAGAAAGTGGGAGAGACTAGTACTTGCTAAAATAAGACAATTTTTGGGAAATGATATACTTATTAAGAAAATAGAGGGTGAGTGGGCGGGGCTAGGATTGCACAAGTTAAATTTGCGATTAATAATAATCTATAAAACTAGAAACTCAATGTTTCCCTCTCAAATAAAGCCATTTAGAACAATTTCAATTTTTTTGGAAATTTTGGGGATTTTTGGGAGTCATTTCCCCGCATTTCTCAGTTATTTGACAACAAATCGTCAAAAATATTTTAGATTCGTAATCTGCGAAAAATTATCTATAAGCCAACTATTTTCCGTTGGGTCAGATCGTCTTTTAACTGTTTCAGACAAAAAATTTTTGGAAATTACGAAAAATTTTTCTCACTTTTCTCGCTGATTTTCGGAAATAGTTGAAAAATAGTCGAAAATGTTAAAAGTGCGAAAATCTGTTTTATCTTATTATATACTAGCCCCGCCCACCCACCCTCTCTCTTCTTAGAGGGTGTCTCATTAGCCAAAATCAGTCTTATCTTAGCAAGTACTAGCCCCGCCCACCCGCCCTCTACTTTCTTGGAAGGTATGTGTTTTGTCAAAATTAGTCTTATCTTACAAGTACTATTTAATTATTGTTTAATATTTTATTTTACCATTTCAATATATAATATAGTAGTTGCTAATATAAGACTGATTTTGGCAAATGATATACCTCCTAGAAAAAATACAAGGCGGGTGGGCGGGCCTAGTGCTTGCTTAGGTAAGACTGATTTTGGCAAATGACATATCCTACAAGGAAAGAGAGGGCGGGTGGGCGGGGCTAGTATTTGCTAAGAAAGAAACTGATTTTAGCAAATAACATACCCCCTAAGGAAATAGAGAGAAAGTAGGAGGGACTAGTACTTGCGAAAATAAGACAATTTTTGGGAAATGATATACTCTTTAAGAAAATAGAGGGTGAGTCGGCGGGGCTAGGATTGCATAAGTTAAATTTGCAATTAATACTCTATAAAACTAGAAACTCAATGTTTCCCTCTCAAATAAAGCCGTTTGGAACAATTTCAAATTTTTTGGAAATTTTGGGGATTTTTGAAATATTTTCCCCGCAGTTCTGTTATTTGAAAACAAATTGACAAAAATATTTTATATACGTAATCTGCGAAAAATTATCTATAAGTCAACGATTTTTATTAGTATTATTATTATTATTTTATTTTAATGTTTTTGTATTTTTGGTTTAAATAAAATAACTTTCCAATAAAAGTTGTTAATTATATTAATAGAGATTAATTTACATGTATTGTGAAATAAATGACATGTACAAAAGCTGAGCTATGAAAAATCTGCTATGTGAAAATTAGCAACATTAAATGAGTTTTAATAAACAACTGCACTAAAAACGTTTTTTCTGTAAACTAAATGTATCTTAAGCAAATTATTATTATGTTAAGTGACTAAACCAAACGAACAAGGACTCCCTTTTTTTTGTAAGCAGTTTATTGTGTTTCCTGAACAATTTTCAATTTTGCACATAGCAGGTATTGAAGAATCAACGACCATATGCATTTTTGTTTCATAAATATAACTGTAGCAGAGTCAACAAAAGTTAAATATACGCTTAATTTATTATTTAATTCAGACTCTCCGCACAGGTTTGTTACGCGCTTCTATGATGGGCAAATCCACCCTGAAAATCGGAAGCACTCGGCATGGTTCGTCCTCGTCGGAGACACGACTCATTTGAATTCAGTCAGATGATGAGTCAGATCAGAAACTGCATTGTGGATAGTGCATTTAATTATAAAATGTAGCTTATTCAAATTACCAAACAGTTAGGCGGGTACCAAAGTAGGTACTTTCTAGCATTTTTTTTAAATGGCAAATCCGACTGTAAGCTGTCCAAATAATATTAGAGAGGTGATAAAGAAGGTATTAAAGACATTATATTGAGTTTTTGTTTTTAATAAATAAATTCAGTAGTATGGAACTTGATGTTTATGAATTATTTGTTTATAAATTAAGATCATGTCCCGAAATGAAATAATTGGTCATCACAAACTCTCGTGGCAGTAATAAAGGGTTTAATCAAAATTCGGACAATAAATTAGTATTACCTATTGGCTGATCGCTAGTGAAACAACAAACAAAACTGTTCGAATTGTCTGCTATTTAACATAATATTAAATTACTAACACTTTAGAATTCCACAAGAAGAGCGATATAAAATATATTGCTACTGTTTTACAAAAACATGACCAATCTGAATAAACGAAAATTACTTGGAAAACGAAGTGAAACTATAGAAAATTCTCTTAAATTCGGCGTTTATTCGATATGATAATTTTCTTGGCTACACAAAAACATACATTTCGAGGACAAGATGAATCGCAAATTTCTCTTAAAGTAAATTTGATGATAATTTTAAAAAGTTTTTGGAGGAGTCTTTGGTAATTAGTGGTCTTCAGAACGATTATTTTGGAATTATTTTTATTTTATTTGTTATTGTTAACCTTGTTAGTATTTTGAGAATTTATTTTTTGTTTCATTTGGCATTTTTAATTTTGCTTTTACAATAATTTTCCAAATTGCTGCTTTTTCTAAGTGTAGCTTATCTCAAAGGTTTAAAATTTAACGTTTTCTCGTCATGTTATTTCAAAATCTTTACATGTTGGGATCATTATTTGAGTTTATAGTTCTATAAACTCCTAACAAATCTATTTAAGTGCCGAACCTTTTTTTTGCTCCTCTTTCCTCTTCTAGCAAGAGTCTTCGACGTTGAACGAGATCTCGTTGGTTCTTGCTGAACGACATTGTAAGTAACATTTATAAAATAATATGTATGTAATATACATAAAATATGTGTTATATTATATTGATTGACATGCAGCACCAAAACAAAAACACGTTCTCACAAAAATGATTAATTATATATATGCATATATATATTTTTTTCACACATGTTATAACCTACCTATAATGCTTTGCCCACCCATCAAAAATCACCACGAGTCGCCACTGCTAAAATGTACATATAAAATGTATATTCAGTTCAATTAGTAGATAAATTGTGTTACCGGCTATGTTTTATAGAATCAAATTTTACTTAGTCTGATTGTAAATTCGTGCACCTATTTATATATAATGATCTACATAGATGCTAATGGGCTACTGTTTCCTGGTATCATATGGGCCCATAGTGAAAGAACAACAACAAATACTTGCATATCGTGCCACGCGAAATATAATAACTCATTTAATTCTTGTCATCCTAATGCCAGGGACATATGTGGCGGAACTTCAGCTGCGTAATTTACCGTGCGCGCTGTTTTTCAGCTTCAACGACCCCTCGACAAATCTAGGCGGAAATTTCGCGAGGTGTCATTATCAAGTCTACCAAGCTCTAGAAAATGACAAAAAAGAAGAAAATATGGAGTATATCCATTGCATTTAAAACGCATAAGCACTGATCAGTTAAATTACCAATATGAAGAAAGAAGATGCCATCCAGAGATTTTTTTTTTAATATTATCGAATATCGATTAGATCCTTTGATACACTATTGGAAAAATTATGACATTGTATAACCAGGCAGAACACAAAATTTAAACAAGCAATAACACCATATACATTCACGTGATTGTACTTCAACGAGAAATCGTTCTGTGTCAATCAAAGTATATATTCAAAATTCAACAGAAAATTACGCTGCCGACTTTCGGTGCTAGTATGGCGTGTTCCTGCTCTTCCGTTTTTTAAATTTTGTTATCAAAAAAAACTACAACGCGTT